TAAGTTGAGAAATGGATTTAGACACATGAAAACTAATTCCGTCACAACTTGAATTGGACACACACAGATCGTTCCAAGCTGTGTACAAAAATTAAATTTGCTTAATTAAAAGCTTAATAGTTGTTAATTAAAAGCGTAATTAAGTAGTGTTCAATATTCATGAGTGTTCTAATTCAAAGCTGTGTTGTATTCCAATACAGCTCACACAGCAAACGGAATTCGAACACGTGGATGATGGCATTACGTATCAGTAGAATTTGAAGCGCGGACGGAATACGCCTCACCATGTGCCGAATATTGCCACACACAGTGTCGGAATATAAGGATTTGGTAGGTTTGCATTCTGAAGGCTTTTAATTAAATATGGCAACATTTTGTGACGTTTCATCATTGCTGGCGCGTAGTACGGTGTTTTGCGAGTCACATAAAGCCAACAGAACTCGAGTAATGCATATGGTTATTTTTTTATAGTTTTTCATTTCTCGACGTGTCCTTAATGTGTTGGAATATACCGCATTTACCCTAGCTTACATTCATTGAATTTTGAAATGGGTTTTGTAGGAATTTTGATAAAACTCATGTTTGTAGCATATCTTGAACAACACCAGACTGTATAGTGTGGCACAACATGAATTGAGGACACTCATTTCGTGCACCAAATATGCCAAGGTGGATGCCACTGGATGCCAGTTGCCAATTAAACTTCTCCACAAATTGCAATTTACAATCAATATGGCCAATGTGCCTTATTGATCTACAAGGTATGATTGGAACTATGCGTCAAAGCGCTTAGTTACGATGGCTGTGAGAGGCTGAGAGCTATATTTGAGCACCAAAGCATGCACACTCACATGCTCAGAGCCACCTGAAGTATGCGCTGTAGCGCGCAGTTCTGATGACTGTGAGAGTGTATATTTGAGCACCCAAGCATATGTGCTCTGAGCCAAGGGAAGTACCCACTGTAGTGCACAGTTCTGATGGCTGTGAGAGTGCATATTTGTGCACCAAAGCATATGTGCTATGAGCCACCAGAACTATGCACTGTAGCATGCAGTTCTGATGGTTCTAAGTGCATATATTTGAGTGCTTATGCTGAGGGAGACTCACGGCACTGACGATAGATTACAAAGCAGCTTGTGATGAATCATTTTAAATAAACAGACTACATCATTAGTCTAGCCACCTGAACTGCACCTCATAGCTCATACCAAATCCAAACCCAATCCAACCATACCCAACCCAATGCAACCAAACCCAACCCAACCCAATGCAACTCAAACCAATTCAACCCAAACCAATTCAACCAAACCCCATGCAATCCTAACCAATTTAACCCAATTCAATTTAACCCAATTCAATTTAACCCCAACCCAATATAACTTCAAGCCAATTCAACCCTAAACAATTGATCCCAATTCAAATCAACCCAATCCTTCCCAATGCAAACCAACCCAATTCATCTTAACCAAATTTAACCTAACCCAATCTAACCAAACCCAACCCAATTCAAATCAACCAAATTCAACCCCATCTAACTTAATTCAACCCCATCTAACTTAATTCAACCAAACCATATTCAACCCACCCTGGGCCAGGGTAGCCCCGTGGCTAAAGTTCAGAGTACCGTAAAATGGGGTAACTTAGACCGGCGGGGTAACTTAGACCGCTTTTAGTTTTTTTAACAAAAACCCCCACAACTCAAAAACTATTTGACATAGAAAAAACTAAGTTACCCCAAGAGCTGGGGTAACAAAGACCATCACTTTTTTTGAAATTACATAAAGACTATGAGAGGCAGGAGCCAGCAATTTATGGTGAGTGAAGCTAGAGTATAGACCTGTATTTTGCATGTTTCAATTCAAGTTTAATTTAGCTAGTAAAAAAATGGCATCATTTGTAGAAAAAAAGTGGTCTAAGTTACCCCATTTTATGGTACCAAGATTGGAGGGGTGCAGTGCAGTGTGCAAGTATCCAAAGATCTTTGGAAATACATTGGCATCTAAATTTATTATACATCTTCAGAAGATCCTGCAAACATATTTTTCTCTGAATACTTTTTATGTGTATTTTTTGGTAAGAAATCTTAAAGGTTTTGGAAATTTTGGTTTGTGTTGGCAATTTGAATCTGCTTCAGCTGAGTAGAGTGAATTAAGTGGTTACTAAGAAATCTTGTTAACCCTTTACTGCCCGATTTTCTGGGTAAAAATTGCTAATTTCACTTTTCTGGTTTTTAGTCTCACCTTAAAGCTGACATTATGACCTATCCAATGGTACCAAAATCATCTCTGTATGTTGATTTATGCCTTGACGACAGATTGCAAATGGGTCAGGGGTGGGGGAGTTCTGTCAAATTTAAGACAGGCAAAAATTACCCGCTGGGCACATAAATAGATGGTCTGAAGACGCTGACCTTTAGTTACGCGGCTGCTGTCATGTGGGATGGTGCTCATGCAGTCATTCCCACCTTCCTTGACTGAATTTCAGCTCAAGTACATAACGTCTAGTCTTGTATCCATGCCACCTTGAATGCCTATTTTGAGGCACCAGGGACTTTGTGGCACTCTACTGAACATTCACACTTATTGTCACTGCAAATCTATCTCCTCCTAGAGTTTTCAAGCCACAGCAATGAGAGATAAACCGTTCAATTCGCAAATAAAAGATCTAGAGATTGATTGTAGCTTTTCCCAATTTTGTTATAGTTTTGAAAATATTCTGAAGAAGAGGGGGGAGGGGAAATTCAAAAGAGTGAGAGGGGAAATCAAAATTTTTTTGAAAAATGCCCACCCCACCACAAGAATTAGAGTTTCGAAAAACAGCAAGGACCAATCAAAAGATATGGTCCTTATGCATCGAATGATATGCGTCTCAATGTTGTAGCTTGAAAATCATAGGAGGAGCTAGATTTATACAGTACCCCTCTTTTTGGCTGTTTTCTAAGAATTTCACATTTTCTTTCATTTTTTTTGAAAAAATTGACACAAACAAAAAAGTCTTAGTTATTTTTTCACATATGTGTACCAAGTTTCAAAGTGATCCATCTGTAAATAACCAAAATAAAATTTCTACAGGAAATTGGAAATTTCCATTGGAAATTGGAAATTTTATTTTGGTTATTTACAGACAGATAACTTTGAAACTTGGTACACATATGTAAAAAATAAATCTAAGACTTTTTTTGTTTGTGTGAATTTTTAAAATATGAAAGAAAACGTGAAATTCTTAGAAATCCAGTGTTTTTTAAGGCGACTTGAAAGTCCGATTTGGCGGTAACAAAAAAGAATTAGCCTCCTGCAGCCAACTACTTTGAGGGAAATTTTAGGATGACTGCTCTGGTCATTTTGCTTGACTTGGTTTGCAGGCTAATTGACAATTGTTTAACTTACCAGGCTAATGTGACACTTGCCATGTAATTTTATTTAGAATGGAGCCATAGATTCTGTGAATAAAGGCTAAAACTAAAAAAGTTGCATAAAACATTTTACTGAATAGAAGTCCTAGATAAACAAAACAGAACGTTTCGGGCTATGCCCATCATCAGCTAGTAAAATACGGTACATCTGGAAATACATGGAAATCAATTTTAGTAAATAAATTTAGAAATGATAAGGAAAGAAAGGAAAAAAACACAACTATTGACCTAGAATCAAAAGAGGATAAGAGCTGGATTGGTTATTCAATTTAGGTTTAAGTTTATGGGTAAAGAGACTCTAAAATTCGTAGATCGGTTTGGCTGCTAGCGTTACAAAGAATTTTAAATTGATTGATGGACATGGGAGGAGCAAGTGAGCACTGTTCTGTATGAAGTCTGACTGATGAATGAGGCGGCTGAGCAAGTGGACGCCCAGTAAATAAGAGTTTGTCAATATTTACTGGGCGTCAAAATGAGTTTTTCTTACTGTCAAATGAGTTTGTCAATAAGAAAGGATGAATAGCCGTTGTAAATATTTTATCAAATATTTTATCTAAAAGGTACCACCCACCATCCATCACATTTGGCCCATCCCTCAGAAAAATTTACCTGTCCTTTCCTTATTTCGGCCACCAATCCGAACGTATGAAAATTGATATCCAAAGGCTTCTCTCGGAATATTTCATCGGTATAGAGTTCAATATTATTTTGGTAAATAAATTTACAATAGGTTCTTTTTTCAATTACAAAACACTTGCTCCTCCCGTGTCCATCAATCAATTTAAAATTCTTTGTAGCGCTAGCAGCCAAACCGATCTACGAATTTTAGAGTCTCTTTACATCCATAAACTTAAACCTAAATTGAATAACCAATCCAGCTCTTATCCTCTTTTGATTCTAGGTCAATAGTTTTGTTTTTTTTCCTTTCTTTCCTTATCATTTCTAAATTTATTTACTAAAATTGATTTCCATGTATTTCCAGATGTATTTTACTAGCTGATGATGGGCATAGCCCAAAACGTTCTGTTTTGTTTATCTAGGACTTCTATTCAGTAAAATGTTTTATGCAACTTTTTTAGTTTTAGCCTTTATTCTTAAACTTAGAAGAACTCCTCGAGATTCTGTAAATAATCAATGTAAGTGTTTGACAGCTTTGGTTTACTCCCTCCCTCCAGCCTGCTATGGCATCGTATCCGTTCCCACTGGCCAATGGTTCTGCTGCCGCTGTGAAGCAAAGGAGTCACCACTCAGAGCCGTGAGTCACGTTCTCCACTGAGCAAATGAGATGTCCTTCTGTGTCAAATCTATAATTAATAATTGTAGTCAGCATTATTCATTTTTAAAATAGCTTTTCTTTGAAGGATACTCCTTGCTTTTAGCCACATTTTCTTGCTTATTAAGATCACACAGGTTTTATTGCATTTGAACAGTTCTTCCTTCAGCAACAAATGACTGGCTAAGAAGGGCTTGAAATATAGCAATTTATAATTAATTTCTTGTTGGTCCTGTACCCTCAAATATGGTGATGATTCTAACATATTTCAAATTAATGGCATTGATCTCAGTGGATATGAACTTTTAGCCTTTTTATCACTGTTATTATTATACCAATCATGTTGTCTTGTGCAACTCAATAAATCTTTAGTGTCAACAATAAAGTTGTGATGGCTTTACCAGCGCTGCGAGCTGTGCCCCAGCAAAGATGGTGCCCTCAAGAGAACTGACTCAGGGGGTTGGGCCCATGTCGTTTGTGCACTTTACATCCCTGAAGTGCGGTTTGGTAACGTCACCACCATGGAGCCTATTGTGCTGCAGCTCATACCCCAGGACCGCTTCAATAAGGCAAGTTGTTTGGTAACATCACCACCATGGAGCCTATTGTGCTGCAGCTCATACCACAGGACTGCAAGGCAAGTCAACCTTAGGGTCAACCATCTCGCCAAATATCATACAAGCTTCATGTATGGGTAGGTATCATTACAGAGAGAAGTATTTTCACGTTAATGGAAGTGCAATATGAAGATATTTATATACCATACCATTCCTAGCAGAATCATGAGGGATTGTGTTTTTTTTTGTGACATTTACAATTGTGTGAATGATTGTTTATCAGTAACTTGGGTATATGTCTAATGATGCATTTATTGTTTTGACATAGCTTGGTCTGAAGTCATCAATATAATTCTTTTATTATTTCTATTTATGTCAAAAGGGCTTATTTAATTTTATGATCTTGGGTAGGTTCCTCATAAGTGAAAAGTTTTGTTTAATCAAGACATGTTTGCAGTTGTGCTACATTTGTGAGGAAGCTAACCGCACAACACGGGCAAGTGTGGGCGCGTGCATGCAGTGCAACAAGGGCGGCTGCAAGCATTACTTCCATGTGACCTGCGCTCAGGAGCGCGGTTACCTCTGTGAGGAGGCTGGCAACTATCTCGACAACGTCAAGTACTGCGGATATTGTGGCTACCATTTTGAGAAACTGGTGAGATATAGGTACCTTATTAAGTGTTGCTTAGCAACTTTTTAGAAGTTTATACTGTTGTGTTACTCACTCAGTGAGTGGAATTCTAGAGGGGTTTTAAATGACCTATGGAAAGGCCATTGCATAGCCAATCACAGTTTGGATAAGATGACATCATGATCATATCAACCAATCACAGTCTGGATAGCATGAGATCATGATCTTATCAGCCAATCACAGTCTTGAGAGGATGAAATATTGATGCTATCAACGAATCACAGTTTGGAGAGAATGACATCTCAACCAATCACAGCTGGGAAGGGATAGTACCTTTGAGCACTACATATATATATTAGAATTCCACCATGTCAGGCCGGCCGGCGGTGTTAGGAGCCTCCTCCTAATAGTTGTCAGGTGCACCTAACCAGCTGTAGAGTGTGGCTCATTTATCACCATTTGCCATGAACCACTGCTTGGAATAAGCACCTATAAGCCCTTCATGTACAATTAAGTTTTCTTGTCAAGTATTTGAGTTTTGGGCGTTGAAAGTTACCTACCTACTTTGGATTTCACCCTCTAAACTTGATATATTTGTTATAAGTGGATAACTACATGGTAGTTTGGAAGGGACGTTGATTCATTGCCTTGTGTATAAAGTTTTTAAATAACTTGATTAATTCAAATAATCCCATTTTATCAGAAGGAAGATGGCAAGAAAGGAACAAATGTGAAGACCATTCCTCCCTACCGACCTCCTCCGCACCCCAACAACAAACTCCCTGGTGACGGGGAGCGTTCTGTCCCCCCTCACCCCCCCACAGCCACAGCACTGAGTGGTAGCAGCAGCAGTGGTCACGGCAGCCACAGCAGCAGCGGTCATGGCACTCACAGCAGCAGCGGTCACAGTAGCCACAGCAGCGGTAGCAGCAGTTTGCGTACAGGCGTGTCAAGCAGCAGTTCCAGCGGTCGCAGCAGAGTACGCAGCGAGGTGAGCAGCAACAAAAGTGGCAGCAGCTCATTGAGCAGCAGCAGCAGGAGGCGGAGTGTGCCGCGGCCTGTGTTGCATGCCAGCACACGTACGACCGTCACCACCGCGCCCAACATCACTACTGCCTCAGCCGCCACCACCGCCACCACATCCACCATATCCACCACCACCAGCACCACCACATCTCCATTTCTGGACAAAGTGCGTCAGCCGAGCGTTGTAATATCGAGCAGAGTTACGCTGAGCTCAGGCACCCCTACCTCGCCCTCCACTGCCGGCACTACAACGCCCTCCCTCCACTCCACCAGTGCCGTGATCTCCACGTCATCGTCGGCTCTCTCTAAAGCGTCTGCTGCTACGACCTCCAAGGCGTCTTCACCGTCTGGGGTCGTGACTTCTTCCACGTCAAGCAACTGCAAAACAACCTCCGCTGTCACCACAAACTCTGTTTGCGTCACCACACTCCCCTCCCCGCCTGTTACCGCCACCACCACCACCACATCCACCACCACCAAGCCTGACTCGCCTGCAGGCAAGTCTTCTAGTCACAGCTTCGTCTTGAAGCGCTCGAATTTCTCCTCAACCACCGCCGTAGTCTCGTCTGCTGCCAGCGCAAGCTCCTGCTCAACGGCTCCTAGCTTCCTCGCGACCACTTCAACATCTGCCACGGTCACTACGACGTCCCCCACGGTCTCTACAGCGTCTAGCACGGGCTCTGCAACGTCCTGCACGGGCTCCACGACGACCACGTCCGTCACGTCGTGTGTGGTGGCCAGCATCTCGTCCGTCACACACACGACGGGCGCCTCAGCTGAACCTAAGGACGCAGAAGCCTCCGCTGCCACGGAAGCCGCGCCTGCATCAGCGTCTGCAGCGCTCGCCCACTCCGCTTCTCATAAGTCCTGCCCCTCGGTGTTGCCTTCCGTCACCACAAAAGGTATCGTATTTAGATTTTCTACACTTGATAGTTATGGCTGATTGCAAGTAGAAAATTAGGTTCATTAAAAAAGGGATACGAATATAAATGATGAAATTTTTCCGCCAATTTGCGTTCTTGATGCAAAATTAGATGTAATTGTGTGTCCTGATATTGACCGGTCATGTATGGTGGCGTAGCTTCGATAAGTTCATTTAGTTTATAAGGATCGTAAGATCTCATCGGCGATGGTAGGCTATTGCTGTATGGCAGAGATTATAGTAACGAATATAACAATGAAGTGCATATTCCCCATGGAGCGCCATGGCATTGGTTAGGTTTCAAATAGAATCTCATCTTGTCCAACCGCAGACGACAGCACAACATCCTCCACAACTCACACCACAACCACCGCTGCCGCCAGCACTAAAGGCAGCAGTTGTGCCACTGCGACAAGTAGCAGCAGCACCACCACCACCACAAGTAGCAACGCCACCACCACCACCACCACCACCAGCACCAGCAGTAGTTGTATGTTGAGCGTGACAAGCCTTCGTCGCACGACTGGAGGCCGCTGCAGCAGCTCCAGTGACGACGCAGCCTCGTCGTCCAGCAGCTCCGACAACCTCGTACTGAACATCTGCCAGGAGAAGAACCTGTCAGTTATTTCTGATCCAAGCTGCCCTGACACCAAGCCTAGTGTGGCCAAGATCAAGCTGCAGACAGTCAAGGAAGACGCCGTGCCTACTAAGAAGGAGGAAGAGGAGGAGCAAAAGATGGACGTTGATGATGAAGCGAATGAGTTTAAGTTGAAGGTCTCCTACACGGCGAACATGTCGGCCGCTCCCCTACACAAGAGTGACCCCTTCTCCCCCACACCCGCGGACTTTGCTGTGGTCACGGCGCATGTTGACCCACTTCCTGTCAACAACAAGCGTGGCAGGTGGGTCATGAGTGCGTGTTGTGTAAAGAGTTAGCCTGTCAATAACATCGCTGTCATCGTTACACAACCCACCAGGGCTGCCAAATGGCCTAAAAACTGCCAAGTCCCTGGGCAAAAAGGCCTATAATGAATAATCCAATATATACTAGTAAGTTTGTTGGTTCAGGAGCGAATATTTAATTTGATTTTTATTGTACTTTTCACTATATAATGACATTGTACTGTCATAAATTTTTGTACTGCCACCACACTCACGTTAGTGTACCATCACACCGTGTCACCACACTCTCGTCATCACACCGCCCGACAGATCTAGCAGCAACGACCGCGGCAGCAGACGCGCCAAGCGCGGGAGTCGGGACGGTGGCGGTAAGCGCGGCCGATGGTCGGGCAGCGGTCGCTCGCACGACCCTGACCAGACGCCGCCCTCCTCCCCAGACTCCGACCATCTCGTCACGCCCAAGAGGGGACGTAAACGCGCTGCTGCTGTCGCCGCTGCTCTCGAACTTAAAGAGTGAGTATTGCTTTGTTATTGTAGTTACATTTTATTGTGTTATTGTAGCTAAATTGTACTGCATTTGTTATTGTAGTTACATTGTATTGCATCAGTCTATGGCATTTGTTATTTGTAGCTAATGATAATATAGTAATGTGTATTGCTGCTGCGTTATCAAGTTATTGCTCATCAACTCCCGTGTTTTGCTGCAGTACTACCGAGTTCTTGCACATGTATTCATGTTCAGAGCAGTTGAGAAGTTGTTCATCAGAGTTCGAGTTACCATGCCATTTAACCTTACATATGTTGGCGTGAGACTGGTGTTCTGGGGCCTGAACTAATTACGAATAGGAATAAGTGCATGATTGATGATGGCGGTCATAGTAGTGATGATTGATGATGACGGTCATAGTAGTGATGATTGATGATGACGGTCATAGTAGCGATGATTGATGATGACGGTCATAGTAGTGATGATTNGTTCAGCAGTTATTCCCCCCAGCCTGCTTACCTTCATATTGTGAGGTGCTTAGTTCAGCAGTTATTCCCCCCAGCCTGCTTACCTTCATATTGTGAGGTGCTTAGTTCAGCAGTTATTCCCCCCAGCCTGCTTACCTTCATATTGTGAGGTGCTTAGTTCAGCAGTTATTCCCCCCAGCCTGCTTACCTTCATATTGTGAGGTGCTTAGTTCAGCAGTTATTCCCCCCAGCCTGCTTACCTTCATATTGTGAGGTGCTTAGTTCAGCAGTTATTCCCCCCAGCCTGCTTACCTTCATATTGTGAGGTGCTTAGTTCAGCAGTTATTCCCCCCAGCCTGCTTACCTTCATATTGTGAGGTGCTTAGTTCAGCAGTTATTCCCCCCAGCCTGCTTACCTTCATATTGTGAGGTGCTTAGTTCAGCAGTTATTCCCCCCAGCCTGCTTACCTTCATATTGTGAGGTGCTTAGTTCAGCAGTTATTCCCCCCAGCCTGCTTACCTTCATATTGTGAGGTGCTTAGTTCAGCAGTTATTCCCCCCAGCCTGCTTACCTTCATATTGTGAGGTGCTTAGTTCAGCAGTTATTCCCCCCAGCCTGCTTACCTTCATATTGTGAGGTGCTTAGTTCAGCAGTTATTCCCCCCAGCCTGCTTACCTTCATATTGTGAGGTGCTTAGTTCAGCAGTTATTCCCCCCAGCCTGCTTACCTTCATATTGTGAGGTGCTTAGTTCAGCAGTTATTCCCCCCAGCCTGCTTACCTTCATATTGTGAGGTGCTTAGTTCAGCAGTTATTCCCCCCAGCCTGCTTACCTTCATATTGTGAGGTGCTTAGTTCAGCAGTTATTCCCCCCAGCCTGCTTACCTTCATATTGTGAGGTGCTTAGTTCAGCAGTTATTCCCCCCAGCCTGCTTACCTTCATATTGTGAGGTGCTTAGTTCAGCAGTTATTCCCCCCAGCCTGCTTACCTTCATATTGTGAGGTGCTTAGTTCAGCAGTTATTCCCCCCAGCCTGCTTACCTTCATATTGTGAGGTGCTTAGTTCAGCAGTTATTCCCCCCAGCCTGCTTACCTTCATACTGTGAGGTGCTTAGTTCAGCAGTTATTCCCCCCAGCCTGCTTACCTTCATACTACAATGCTAGATGTTGAGCAGTTATGTAGTGCCATGTTCTATGGCTCTGCTAAAGAATTTTTTTGCTACTATCATCGTGTGATAGTCATGCATGTTAACAACTCCTCATTCGAACTATCATGCCATCTTTTGGAACAACCATTTGCGCTTGTAGAATTCACTTTTATTTTATTGACTCTTCTAGGCTGGAAAATGCTTAGCGTCAATCTCTAAAAACAAGTGAATATGACTAAATAAGTCAATGGAATTGAGCTCACTCATCCATTCACCTAGTTTTTAACTTCACATTTTTTCAATTACGCTTTATTTTTATGGTGACTCAGTAAGCTTTGTTGATGGCATCAGGTCGCCGCCCTCCACCCCGACCATGCCCACACCGCCGGCCCTTGGTCTGGGAGCCTCGACCAACGGACCTGCAACTGTCAGTACAGCAGGTGCTGCAGTCAGCGCTAACACCCTCCTGTTAGGTGAGAACCTTCCTCTACATGTAACTTTATTACATATTATGCCTACAGTCCTGCCACCGGCCCTTCAGCAGGTGCTGCAGTCAGCGCTAACACCCTCCTGTTAGGTGAGAACCTTCCTCTACATGTAACCTGATCAGACACGCGCCAGCCGGCACTATCACCAAATCTCTTGGTATTCTCATGCAATAAAGTCTTGAATGCTAATCCTGCCTGAACGCCTGGAAATGCCGAACGTCTACGTTGCTATTGCAAATTATCTTTTAGCGATATTATTTGGGGTTATGTTGACTAACGTACCCATGTTGAAGGCAAGTAAATCAACCTGATGTGTTGCAGGCAACCAAATCAACCTCATATGTTGCAGGCAACCTAATTAACCTCGTGTGTTGCAGGCAACCTAATGAACCTGATGTGTTGCAGGCAATCTAATTAACCTGATGTGTTGCAGGCAATCTAATTAACCTGATGTGTTGCAGGCAATCTAATTAACCTGATGTGTTGCAGGCAACCTAATTAACCTGATGTGTTGCAGGCAACCAAATAAACCTGATGTGTTGCAGGCAACCAAATCAACCCTGCCAGTGCTGTGGCCCAGAAGATGACGGACACGCTCCACGCTGAGCTGCAGGCGCACAGCGTCTACAAGCAAGAGGACGAGGAGCGTGTGGCGGCACCTTTGGTGGGTCCTGCACTGCCTGGCAAGAAGCAGGTTAGTTGCAGGGTTATTGGGTGCTGATTTATTTAGTGGTAGACTTTATGTCTGTATTGTAACCTCTTGAATTGAGGAACCTGGAGTGTAACTGAACTAACGTGGCTGTGGTGCTGGGGGTATAACTTGGCTGTACCTTACAGGGCGCTGCTGTGGGTGGCGGCAGCAGCAACGGTGTGGCGCAGCCTCCCCCGTTCCCCCAGTCGCTGGAGCAGCTGCTGGAGCGTCAGTGGGAACAGGGCAGCCAGTTCCTCATGGAGCAAGCGCAGCACTTTGACAGTGAGTTCCTCATGGAGCAAGCGCAGCACTTGACAGTGAGTTCTTCCCTCTGGGCAGCACTTAGACAGTGAGTTTTTCCCTCTGGACAGCACTTGACAGTGAGTTTTTCCATCTGGACAACTCGTGACAGTGAGTTCTTCCCTCTGGGTAGCACTTTGACAGTGAGTTCTTCCCTCTGGGTAGCACTTTGACAGTGAGTTCTTCCCTCTGGACAGCACTTGACAGTGAGTTTTTCCATCTGGGCAGCACTTGACAGTAAGTTCTTCCCTCTGGGTAGCACTTTGACAGTGAGTTCTTCCCTCTGGACAGCACTTGACAGTGAGTTCTTCCCTCTGGACAGCTCTTGACAGTGAGTTCTTCCCTCTGGACAGCTCTTGACAGTGAGTTCTTCCCTCTGGACAGTTCTTGACAGTGAGTTCTTCCCTCTGGACAGCTCTTGACAGTGAGTCGCACATGCTGCCCATGTTATGTCTGTAGTTATGAGGATCGCAGTTTCGTCAGTGTGGTTTTGTTCAGATGAATGGCTAACACAGTGCCATTTCATAGTCTCAGGTTAGGTCACAGACAATAGCGACACTTGTCTGTAAGTCTTGTGTGTCTGCATGAGTCTTCTCTGCATATTGTCAGACGACCACGAGCTTTTCGGCCAAACGCCGGTAACTATCTTGGTGAAAATATTGATGTGAATAAAGTTTCAATCGTTCGAATTTTATTGCACTTGATTGTTTGTCAAGACTGCAGCTTATATATACATAAAATTTAAATTTTATTACAGTAAAGAACAAATAGTAAGAATAGCAAAACCCAGCGTTACAGACATTGTATTGCTTGATGAACGTTTAGAGCGTTGGAGCATAAAATTGCTAGTGGAGCAACGGAGCGAGGTGAGTTCATGACCTCACAGTAGAGCTGGCGGGACACAGCAGACCTCACAGTAGAGCTGGCGGGACACGGCAGACCTCACAGTAGGGCTGGCGGGACACGGCTCACCTCACAGTAGGGCTGGCAGGACACGGCTGACCTCACAGTAGGGCTGGCAGGACACGGCTGACCTCACAGTAGGGCTGGCAGGACACGGCTGACCTCACAGTAGGGCTGGCAGGACACGGCTCACCTCACAGTAGGGCTGGCAGGACACGGCTCACCTCACAGTAGGGCTGGCAGGACACGGCTGACCTGCTCGACCTACAGCCGCCTAGACCGGACCCCTGACGCCGTCACGACCGCTGCCGTGAGGTTGGCCCCAAATGTTACTGAGGTGATGACTCCTCGTGTCGCTCTACGAACACCTCAAGTATGTACGAAGTATATGCACATGGAAATAATAAAAATGAACGCGGTTAAGAGTGAATGACTTCATGTTACATGTAAGTGATGTAACTCCCATGTCCCCCGTCAGTCGCGTCGCTGCTGTCGTGCCTGCATCAGCTGCGTCAGGAGAACTGCCGTCTGGAGGAGAGCGTGACGGCGCTGTCAGCGCGACGGGACCACCTGCTGGCTGTCAACGCCCGTCTCTCCGTCCCTCTGGGGCCCTCAGCATCGCCCACGTCCATGGGCGACAGCCCAACCGCCCCCGCCTCTCATGGCGCCCAGCACCCAAGCTCGTCGCTCAACGCTTCTCCAGGTAGATTCCCCCATTTAATAACCGAGCCGCGGCCAGAGTACAGACTCTTCGTGAAGGATCACTGTCCGTGGTAGGACCGAGGCTCTTTAATGCCTTGCAACATTCAAGAGACGACTGGACAAGTGGTTGAGAAAGATTCCGGATTGTCCAGTAATGGGAAACTACCAACAGCAAGTGACAAGCAACAGCATTTTGCATCAGCGTGCCCAAAGGAGGGCAAATAGACGGAACACGTCCAACGTTACATCCGGGACCCGAGGGCGGGGTGACCTGCCTAGTGACGATTCGGAGACGGAGGACGACGAAGGCGGCGCATCAGCGTGACCGTGGACTACGACGTCCTAAACTCATCATAAGGTCATAAGGTAAGGTCACACAAGTATAGTACCACCACACACGTATAGTACCACCACACACGTATAGTACTACCACACATGTATAGTATCACCACACACGTATAGTACCACAACACACGTATAGTGCCTCCGCACACATATAGTACCACCACACACGTATAGTACCACCACACATGTATAGTACCACCACACATGTATAGTACCACCACACATGTATAGTACCACCACACACGTATAGTACCACCACACACGTATAGTACCACCACACACGTATAGTACCACCACACACGTAAAGTACCACCACACACGTATAGTACCACCACATACGTATAGTACCACCACACACGTATAGTACCACCACACACGTATAGTACCACCACACACGTATAGTACCACCATGCACGTATAGTACCACCACACAAGTATAGTACCACCACACACACACACATACAGTAACACCACACATGTATAGTACCACCACACATGGTGGTACTATACATGTGGTATAACTCACATGCAGTACCACCACACACACACACATACAGTACCACCACACATGTATAGTACCACCACACATGTATAGTGCCACCACACACGTATAGTACCACCACACACGTATAGCTGTCTCTTATACACATCTAGATGTGTATAAGAGACAGGTCTGGTCCTGCAGTCTGGAGGTCCTGCAGTCTGAGGGTTGGCGTTAGGTGCCGTATGAGCCATAGATACATGTAACTCCCTATTTATACATAAAATTCCCGCTGGTAGGTATATCATTTTTTTAGATTGTTAGGCACCCCTAGCCTAGCTTTCCTAGCGTCCCTGGCCTAGCTTGCTTGGCGCCCCTCTCTCATGTATGACGTTGTGCTGGCAGTGAGCGGCGGCGGCAGCGGCGGGCCGGCATCGCTCTCATCACCGGTAACGAGTGCACCACTCCACCTGCATCACTCCCTCCTTCACAACTCCACCACTCCATCATCTGCTCCACCATCTGCTGCTCCTGTCGTGTCTTCCCACCATCACCACCACCCACCTCAGCACCTGATGAGTGGTGGACCGCCGTCAGCACACATGGCGGCCTCCCACCACACCCCGCCAGGTGGCGGGCAGCAGAACATTCCGCTGGGGGCCCGCCAGCAGCAACAGCCCCAAGCGCGTCACCCCTCGGGTGGTGGGTGATGATGAGGATTTTACTTAGCACTTATAGGACACTTTTCGTATGTTCCATGCATTCTACATTAGTCCTACTTGGCACCTATAGGGCACTTTACATACCTTCCATGCACTCTACATTAGAGTTTCACTTGGCACTTATAGGACACTTTACGTGCGTTCCATGCACTCTACATTAGTCCTACTTGGCACGTCGGAAGATGGTCTATTGGCCTCAGCTCAATGCCTGCCTCCCTGTGCAGGTGGGGGTGTGGGGCCCCTGCACCATCGCGTGGTGTCGCCCCACGACCGTCGCACCATCGCCTACTCCCCTCACGAGAACGGCGGGCTTGAGGGCCAGGCCGAGTATGGCGGGGGAGGAGGCGCCAGTAAAGGGGGAGTTTACCATCGCGCTGCTGTGGGAGTCTCGTCACAGCCTCACTCTCCTTCCATGATGCCTCCACACCAGCCTCCCCCGCCTCAACATCAGAGGTACGCACCAGTCTCGCCCTCCCCAGCATCAGAGGTAGGCTGTGTGTGGCACCAGCGTCAGAGGTAGGCTGTATGTGGCACCAGCATCAGAGGTAGGCTGTATGTGGCACCAGCATCAGAGGTAGGCTGTGTGTGGCACCAGCATCAGAGGTAGGCTGCGTGTGGCACCAGCATCAAAGGTAGGCTGCGTGTGGCACCAGCATCAGAGGTAGGCTGCGTGTGGCACCAGCATCAGAGGCAGGCTGTTTGTGGCACCAGCATCAGAGGTTGGAAAGATCGAAATCTTCTGCGTTTATGAAGAAAAATCTTATTTTGTTCTTGTGTTGGAGGTGGACGGAGTTAGGCCAGCCTCCTTGGGTCTATAGGTTGTCGTACTTCATTGCATAGCACATGAAGCATAATTGTAAGATCTTTATTAAAATAAAACACATGCAACAAAATGTAGCACATACTGTAAGATTTATTTTATTTGTCAATTAATAAACAAAATTGAACTTCTATAGATTTTTTGCATTATTGAACATTTAGGTATAGTTATGCAATGAGGTTACAGTTATGCAATTATTACAAGTGTTTGATTATTGATGCCATGACATTATTATAAGCATATACTAAGAAATGATTTACACTGGCCTAACATTGTGGCTCCTTGCAGACACTCCCCGGCGGGCAGCGCGTACCACAGCTCGCTGAGCCCCTCCTCCTCCCAAGCTCCCCCGCACTCCATGGTGCACCCCGGACCTCCCCACAACTCCTCCCCAGCCATGAGCTCCAGTCGCCTCGTGGGGGCCGCTGTGCAACAACCTCCATCTGGGGGCGTCTACCAGATGGTTTCACCACCCACGTCCCACCACGCGCCACCACCTCACCATCAGACCCAGGTGCTGCCACCCATCACCACATGTATAGTACCACCACACATGTATAGTACCACCACACACGTATAGTACCACCACACACGTATAGTACCACCACACAACCACCACACACGTATAGTGCCACCACACACGTATAGTGCCACCACACACGTATAGTACCACCACACACGTATAGTACCACCACACACGTATAGTAGTGCCACCACACACGTATAGTGCCACCACACACGTACAGTAACACCACACATGTATAGTACAACCACACATGGTGGTACTATACATGTATAACTCACATGCCACTGCAGCACTAAGCCATCGCTCGTGTGCAGGTGGTGCGCCGTGGCGCTGCTGACGCCATCGAGAAGAGATGACACAGAGAGCCTGCCACCATCTGGCCGTCTATAACGCGGCCTCCTGGCCGCCTATAATGCGGCCACCATGTCACCACCAGCGTCAACATCACCACATGGCCGCCTATAATGCGGCCACCCGTCATCACCAGCGCCAACATCACCACATGGCCGCCTATAACGCGGCCACCCCGTCACCACCAGGCCATGCATAACGCGTTCCTGAGCTATAATGCAATTGATCAGTTTTCTATTTGAATTTTTGTGACATTCTATTCTCACGTCAAGCTGGTGTGTACGTGTAACTGCTGCACACGTCAAGCTGGTGTGTACGTGTAACTGCTGCACACGTCAAGCTGGTGTGACTGGTGTGTACGTGTAACTGCTGCTCACGTCAAGCTGGTGTGTACGTGTAACTGCTGCACACGTCAAGCTGGTGTGTACGTGTAACTGCTGCACACGTCACGCCTGTGACTGTGGCCTCACCCTTCACTCGTATCTGTCATGTCTGTGCTCAACCCTCCCGTGGACTCAACTTCTCGTTAAGATCTAAGCTTGCACGGTTAATTCTAAGTCTGCGGAAGTGTCTTGTTCCGTATAATCGTAGTCTATTGAGCAGTTTAATACAAACCTTGTATTGTCTTGAACGGTTTAATACAAGTCTTGTAGTGTCTGTAGTGTCTGTAGCGGCTGAATATGAGCCTCGTAGTGTCTATATCGGCTTGAGCCTTTTATCTCTACTTAGTTGGTCATTATTCAGCTCCTGAATATTGTCATTTGTTCTCGGTTGGCTGATGCTTTCTTGTGTGGTGGCTTTTGATTATTTTTTTATCACCATTAGTGGATTTTTGTTGATATATTTTCTTTTTATTGTGAACTTTTTGAACCGAGATCACAAATTATAACTATAGTCTTCCCCTTGATAGGAAATTTGTTAGTTTATGGGTTGAATCTTGTCGTGCTGTAATATTTCATAACTGTGCTGACTGAAGACTTGGAATTGACAATATATTGTAGTCATTTCCATGTTCCAAATTGATAATAATCTTATTAATTTGAATGAGACCTCGCCTTGGACTGTTGCCTAGAATATATAGCGTAAGGGTAGGATTGGGTGTCCTAAGCTACTTATTATTCGTCAACTCCTATGTTTTGTTGTGTCATTTATTAAGCATTGCTTTTTTTGCTTTTATCTGTGAGGTATTTGAGATCAATTTTCTGGGGATTTTTTCCAAGTGTCGAGGTATTCCGTCAAGTGTTTGGTAGGAATGTATAAATGTTTGGGTATTTGCCCAACTTATTTACTCCATTTCGTATGTACTTACATGCTGATGTTCATCAGTGTACCATGTATATAGCTTCTAGAATGTATGTGTACATATAGTTCCGTGAAGTACAACCTAGGCTACAAATGTACAACTTCAACTTGACCTGAGGTGGGCAGCGAGCGACTGATGGATTATCATCCACCGCGCCGCTCTCTCCCTGCACTGTCCTGCTGCATCCTTGGTAACTCCTGCACTGTCCTGCTGCTGCATCCTTGGTAACTCCTGCACGGTGCCGTGCCGTGCAGTGCCGTGGCTGACATAAAGTTATACCCACAAGGCCACAACACATAACATTTGACCGACAATGTGGCGCTCGACAGTTCCAATTAGTGGCCGTGCAAAATTTAGTTTCACGAACGCAGTGTCACTTGAAATAGTTCATATACTAGTGTAAATATCTATGGATATTTGATACTAGCGTCGCACCTAAAATCTAGTGATATTATAATACTAGTGTCGCAATTAACATCTACGGATACTCGCGTCCAGATTTATTTGTGATATTCGCTGGAGGAAAGCCATGCTAGGACGCAGCTCGCCACGCAGTTCACGGAGACGCATGCAAGCGCCCTTTGTATGCATGATAATTCAACGGCCGCTCAAATATAGGCGAATAATTCTAAGTAGTTTTGTCTTCGTTAAGCTATGAACTATTGTAAGGAAACCTCCAGACATACGCTCTTCACTTAGAATATTATGGTACGGTAGTTTTCGACTTCAGTCGTCTCCCTAGGCAATTTGCTAGTTAACTATTGGTTTGTAGCGAAAGGAATATTATTTTTTCTGTTTTCGGTGTTTATATATTCAGTAAAATGTGCCAATACATGTTTTACGTTGACGTGTCAAATTCGTTTCTTGTCTTCCACTTCTTTTGGTTCTCGTTAGGTTGTAAGCATTGAGTTGTTGCTCGATCCTCAGTAACTTGAACGCTTCTGAATGTTACATGTATTCTTGATAAGACGTATTCTTATGTATCACAGTTATAATCAGGCAACTTCAAACCTTAGCTCGTTAACTTCCTAAGCAACAGAACATTTCTCGATTTATTTACTTAATGATCATGTCAGCGTGTCACCTCGCCGTTCATCTTGTGCTCGAGCGTCTGAGAATGTGGCTTGCAAACTTACTGTATATTTTCCTGCAAATATTTATCTTAAATTGGTGGCCCGGTCTCGTCTTCACTCTTATTAAATGAGAGTAATTGGCAACCTGGTCAATTATTGCTTTTTATTCACGACCGAGGCACTGAGTGAGAAGATGTGCACGACACTCGCTGAGCAGAACATCGTGTGTCGTGCTGGTATGATGCCTTCTGGGATGAGATCCTTCAATAATTTCTGCAAATAAAAAGTTATTGAAGTTAAATGTTGAGCCTCGCGCTGACAGTTCTGATTGCCTTGTCCTCGCGCTGCCGCTGCTCAGCTGTTGCTTCTTTCGTTTGCTGCTCCCAGTAATAGATGCGCGATGCAGCAATATATGGTGCATCAATATTATAATTTGAGTTTGTCATCCGAAACATTCCGATTTTTTCGACTCACGTAACTTGTATAACTTTGTGACTGTCGCTATTTTATGTACAATATAACTCTGTTACTTGTAAGTAAATTATAATTTAATCCTTGTGTATTTGTGTCTTTCCTACGAGGCATTTTTGGCCGTGATCAGATCATTCCTACAGTCAGTCGAGTATTTGACATGGAGCCTTTGGCTAAGTAGTAGTAGAATGGTTAGCTATAGCTTCAGCTATCAAGCTATTTCGTACCGAAGGTTAAAATGTAAGATCGCTAGCAAGGCGGAAGGTCTCAGTTATTCAAAATCTAAAGTTAATCATCACCCACAAGGGGCGGAAGGTCTCAATTGTCCAGCTCGCTGAAGCTGGCTCGAAAGAAGCAGCGTTAGCATCTCAAAGAGACGAAGTGACAAGGAGGGACAGGTGACAAGGAGGGACAGGTGACAAGCAACAGAAACTAAGACACTCGAACAAGAGGTCGCTTACACGGGACGTCGGCCGCCCGCACGAGAGAGACAGAGAAGGGAAATTTAAGGAATCCTACCTACATAATAACTTAACCCCATAACTGAGACCTGCAGTCAGACACCGCGAGCTCAGCGTGGGGCGCTCAGGAACAATCCCCCTAGGAGCGCGAAATCCCACAGGACTTCTGACGAGCACAGACACGCGTCAGAAGTCCCCTCGGAGGGGACCTTAACTCGAAGCTCCCAATTATTTTAATTATATAACTCTTAATGCTTCGTGTGCACTCACTGCTTTGCGAGTCTCTTCAGGAGCGTTGGTTATTTAAAATAAAAATGTACTATTATATTCGTTGCCTTGACGTCCATGTTTGCCAAGTTGACGACCAAGTCTGGCTTACGGGCGCTGGTCATGGCTAGGGACGCAGGACGCGAGCAACGAACGTGGCCAGACAAAATCTGTCATACGAACAGTAGAATGCAATTTTGCGTTCAAATTAGCCCAAATGTCTTTTTCATTCATAATCTGATCCATAATTTGTTATTAATTGAGCTTTTTTGCATTATATGTCTGCTACTGGTTGCTATAATGATCTGAAATTCTTCTAAATTCCATAAACCTGATGAAATCTGGTATGTTTTACCGTGACTTCACAGTGCGAAATGCTTAATATGAAGGCATAATTGAATTGTGGAAGATTTCATGTCAGTCTGGACTTGATATACGGCCAGAAAAATTGTTTAAACGACCGTAGACTTTGCATGGTGTGAGGAAAGAACCCTGATTGTTCCGCTAAGAAGCACCAAACAGTGAAGGAAAAGCGTGGCACATACAACGTAGGCAGGTGGACAGGATTCCATACGTAAATTCATCAAAAGTTTATGAATTTATAATTAATGTAGCTCTCTTAACGATGTACTAAGTATTTGAACAAAAGAAAACAAATATATGAGAAATAGTTCGTTTAGTTACGTCTAACTTCAGTAAATTATCCGTGTAATGTACAGTCAAGTTAAAAAAAAAAAACACTTCAAGATTTACTGATAAATAAAAAATTTTATTTTATGGAGTTGATTGAGAGTTTACCGTCGAATAAGCAATTTCAACTGATGAGTTCCGATCGCCTCTGTACGAGTCAACAAGAAATGTTTGATCGTTATCCATTGGATCGAACTGAAAAGTTTCCTCTTCAAACAGGCAACAATCAAGAGGATAATAAATTGAAAGTTACACGCGATGCATATTACACTGGACACCAAAATTCTCCACAGCTCAAGATCGTCCCATGAAAGGTTTTCAAGAGGTTTTCAACACTCGCAAAGTTCTCCGCTGGATTTTAGAATAAGTCTTCCGCTGGGAGCGATGAACCAAGCGAACGGCGCTAATCCTGCACGCCTCGCCAGGCGGAACTGCTGAACAAATTTGCTGAACTGCTATGGCGACCAGCCTTATAACAGACCTCTTCATGGACAGACCACCTGCTGTCTGCATGTCCTCCAGACCACCGCGCTCAATGGACAGACCACCTGCTGTCTGCCTGTCCTCCAGACCACCGCGCTCAATGGACAGACCACCTGCTGTCTGCATGTCCTCCAGACCACCGCGCTCAATGGACAGACCACCTGCTGTCTGCCTGTCCTCCAGACCACCACGCTCAATGGACAGACCACCTGCTGTCTGCATGTCCTCCAGACCACCACGCTCAATGAGCCTCAAGCAGAGTTACTTGTTGAGGCTGGAACGCTAAGTCTGCCTCAAGCAGAGTTACTTGTTGAGGCTGGAACGCTAAGACTGCCTCAAGCAGAGTTACTTGATGAGGCTGGAAAGTTTGTGCGAAACGGTCTTGTGAAGGTTAAACGAGTGACAAAGCCATATAGACACCACAGTAGACTTTTTCTACAAATCCTTCTTTTCGATGGTAAAATTCGGTATTTAAACCATAGATTTACAGAAGATAAACCTAACAATTTCTTCTTGAAACTGAGGAGACTCACTATGCTTGCTCGAGGCCACGAACCTGCCTGTCGCTGTAAGACAAAAGCGTTTTTTAAACGCGCAAAAAATAGAAGCTCTGATAAAATCTGACACCTAACTCTTGTTCTCCATCAATCTACAACTGCGTTATTTGTACCGAGAAAATTATTAAATGTGTATTGGTAACGTTAATTTATTTCTAGTGCATAATTACCAAATTACCATCTTATACTTCTCTATGAATTTGCATTACTATTTTATACTTCTTTATGAATTTTTTTAGCAAACAAAGCTAGATTGATTTAACCCCACACAACTGACGCCGGGTTTTTCATTCACGGGATGCCTCAGTCGGTGGTATAAAAAGACATCCGAACATGCAGCCTAATAAAAAATAGCCAACCTTAAAAACAATAAATATATCGTTCGTACTGAAATTGAACTCAGCGACACCACACGCTTATTATTATATCCAACGATGAAAATATCAGGCCTTTCAAGTGTTATCTTTCCGCTTAAAAATGTGATATTTTTTACGTTTCAAAATGTAGTCCATTAATACCTATCGTTAATAAACTATATTGCGAAATATAGTATGATATTTCTGTTGAAGGTCATTCAATGGAAGATAGAGCTTCAGAACCATCATCTTGTTTGAATAATTAAGTGTTATAAAAAATAGAATGTTCATCCAACGAAAACATTCGGACCGGGCTTCGAATGTCACGCTCTAGAATTGAGTCTTGTTGTAGTGCTGATAATCATGGGCTTTTTTGGGATCTTAGTTGGTTGGAACTGCAGCCTGCAGACAGATAATTTAATTAATGCAGCTCAGTTGCAGGGAATCTTGTCAACTCAATGAAAGACCAGTGGAGATCACGGGAGAAGTTTCCGCGATCGTCACCCTCAGGGACAGCCCCGAGGCCGAGATAAGGAGACGGTAATGTGAAGCATCAACCCAGACGCCGGTCACCCTCAGGGACAGCTCCGAGGCCGAGATAAGGAGACGGTAATGTGAAGCTTCAACCCAGACGCCGGTCCCCCTCAGGGACAGCCCCGAGGCCGAGATAAGGAGACGGTAATGTGAAGCATCAACCCAGACGCCGGTCACCCTCAGGGACAGCCCCGAGGCCGAGATAAGGAGACGGCAACGTGAAGCTTCAACCCAGACGGCGGAGTTCATCGGCATCTCGATGCGTTCCTTCAGCCGGGCAGCCCGCGGGCATTGCTTGGAAGTGATTTCCTTCAAGTGCATCACTCTTCTGAAAGTAGTAATTTCAGCAGCGCACTTCATTAAAATTCCTTTAAGCCATGATATGTGATAATTTTTTCGCTCTTAACAATGCTCTAACTATTATCTATCTATTATTTTATTTGCAAGAAAAATGAAACATGCAACCGATCATAAAAGTTCTACTCTATAGAGAATGTTCTATAGATAGCCGAAAACTTCGCTGCCGTCAACATTTACATCTCACTAAGATTGGACATTCGAGGGTCTCCGCTCACATTCTCCGCATCCTTCTCCTCCGTTTATAGACGGACGCAATAACCGTTATCAATGCCCGATAGGCCTGCTGCTTGTAAACAAAGTCACCGTCATTGTACGAAGAGTAAAGTCTGTGTGTAAATCGATCCTCTGAACATCGTACGAGATGCAGAGAGCGTCGTCCGACAACAGCGAGAGGCCGAGATCATTTTTAGAAATAACGCCACGTTGGTCACTGGAGGGCAGCAGCGACGGCTGTGCCCAGCGGCTGCTCTACGTGGTACCGTTATGGAGGCAGCAAGCAGGACTGGCACGTCGGCTCAACAGATGTCGGACTTGGCAAGGCAGAGACTATATGTAAACCCAGCATGTTTGTCAGCATTCTAGTCCAGTCGTGTCAGTATCCTAGTCCAATATGTTCAACGCTGATTCTTTCTCTCACCTCAAATATACGAAAAAAACATCTGCGCACCCAAACTACCAACGTTCGAGGTTCGCTGGCCTCTGACACCGTCCTCGAGAGCGCCAGCATCTCATTCTTAGGCTATTAACCCCAAGAATGTCGTACGCCATGCGACTCCGAGAAATCAACTGGATGCGAAGCACGAAGTCTCATTATCTTGGCCTGGTAAAAAAAATTTCCTGAACAACTTGCTTTATTATAACTAAATAAATGATGTTACAGTTGTAACATCTCTCAGAAAAAAGGCGCAAAGATTTTGTACATAAAAAAATAATTTTTGCCTGGCACGACCAGAAATCACTGCCCAAGCCAATATTGAATTACACGAGTGCGGTTATCATAATAGAACACGAACTGAACTGTATCCGGGCTCTGGTGCTTGCGGCCCTTGGTAAGCTGGCCGACCTGTTGGACAAAAACGCGTTAGTATTTGCGTGAACCGCTGCACGGGGACTTGCCGACGCTGGGCTTGCACTTGGCTATAAATAAGTCAAGTTTTGATCATGTGATGTAACTCCCATAATTTTACAGTGATTTTAACCAAATTATTCACGTATGAGTACACTTTTATTAACTCCATGAAGTGATCAAGCTTAACTAAAATCTTCCGATGAGCTTCTGTCAAGTTATAAGGTTACACGTTTGGCGTTTTGTAACCCGCTCGAACACAAAAGACATACCCATCTATTGCGCACTGAATGGAAGCCTTTCCACATAATTTAATTAATGGAATGTTAAGCATCACCATTTAACTATGGCTTATGATTGTGACGGCTGATCACATCAAGGAACGAAAAACTCAAAGAAATATATATGTATTGAGCATTGCCAAATTCTCTACGTAACAAAATGGAAATTGAGGCTTGAATCAATTAAGCGCATTTCGAAATAACTTGGAACAGGCTCATAAGAGGGCTTCAGTTGCCTGGATAATTTGACATGGTTAAAAAGAGTTCATGAGCAGCTTTGTACCATGTCATAATTATCGCTGCACAATTATGGAAGTTAATTAGCATTTTTCCAACGGTGTCTTGCTATTCTTCCGCCCCACTTTATTCAATTGAATCAAGTCGAATATAAATTGAAAGCAAAATGAACGCGTATCCTATCGTTAAGCTAATCATTTGTACATACACGCGGAGTGTATGCAGGCAGACGAAAAACGATAATTTGCATGGATCATGGAAGCAAGTTGATTTTCAAAAATTGCACCTTGGCTCTAGCCTTTCAGCACCCAAGTCAACCTGGAAGATAGGAGAGTCGGGCCTCTTGTGGCCGAAGACAACAGCAGTACACCTCAAGTTGAACTCAACTCTTCGAGCTCAGTTTGCTGTTGACGCTCTGTGTGTGAGGTGTTGGTGTAGTGCGCTCCTGGATGGTGTCTGGAAAACAGTGATTCTCTTACCGTATAAGATAGTTCATTGCCAGATTCCGTGTTCCCCATTGTCTAAATTCGCGTATTTATTATTAGTTTTCTTCCAAGTTGCAGTTTTTTAAATTTATTCAATTGTGAATTTCTTGGTGCATTTAAAGTGAGGAAAAATTGTGGGCTGAAATCTGTTGACATTGACTCAAGAGTTGCGTTGTATAAGACGCTGCTAGCCTTGGCACTTGGCGGTGGTACAGGCCAAAACATCGCGTTCAACGCCATACTTTGCCCGAAAAAGATTAGCGAAAATGACTTTTGGTTCATAACATTTTTTTTCGAAATCATGCCGTGATGGGTTGGTTCAGTCAAGGAGAAGATCCTTCTTTCCCGCCACCTCCTCCACCTCTGGCATGCATTGAGCTAATCGAGCAGCCGATTTTCAATGGAGATGCTGGTCCGTCCAACCCTTTCCCTCATACGCTGAAGTCATCCCAACCCCAGTACGATCTGAATCCTTCCTCTGACATTCTTCAGATCCGCCCGTCCGAATTGTCATACACACGACCTTTACTTCAGCCCCACAACGTGCCCAGTAAGGAGCAATATGCAAGACCACTAGCAACCACCGATCGCAAACTTGCTGGTAACGTGGCAAAACTAAGATTTGCAGCGTCTCCTTGTAATATACCCGTCAAAGGTGCGCATTTGTCGTATCAGCAACAACATTTGTCTGCTTCTCAGCCGTCGCTTAACACTTGGACCAACGATGATCTTCACGATGATCCCGATGATTTCTTCAGTCCTGATTATTTTGGCTCCCTAACTTATAGGAATACCCAGCTAAACGCAAGGCTTGGTTCTTACAATGTCAAAGATAGCAGACTGAGCTCCAATGATGTGGGTGACCGGGACAGAAAAATTTATCTATCACCGCAATCCCACAATCCGCCATCGCTTATTCATAACCATCACAAAAGCACGCCGAACTTATCTGAACTACAAGAACGTCCTATGCCAGCACATCCTTGGGACGCGGAGTTCTTCAAGAAAGGCTACACTCCAATCATCGTGCGCTATGATTTCGGCGCAAAGCTTGCATCGGGCGACGGTGATGCGCCGTTCATCAGCGGAGGAACTTTATCTCCATCCAAGTCGGAGGGATCAATTAACAGAGCCTTCTCAGGGACTGATAGACTAAAACAAGTCAGCAACGGAAGAAAGAAACATAAAGAACAAAATTCGTCGACGACCTGTAGTTCAATACAAGTTCTGACCCCATGCAATCAAGGCTACTACCACCACCACAATCAGGGGTACTCACCCTACACACCTCCGGGATCTGATTCGAATGTGCCAACGGGGTCTTCAGCGTCTTCATCCTCGTCCTACGTACCGGGAGGGACCGTCATAAGCAATCAAAATTGTGTTCCTTATTCACCTCTTGGTTCCACCACACACACACCTCCTGGATCAGCGCCCTACACTCCCCCAGCGTCTGCACCCCACACTCCTGTACCGCCGAGTGTTGCTTCCGACGGTGTCAGAAAAGGATCCAACCGCCGAAGACGGATCAATTCCAAGTACAAGGTAATTCTTATTACATAAGATTGGTCTTGTTTTTTTACGGTTCGAATGACCACCGCTCATTTCAAGCCTGCCAAAACTGTATTGGTTTCCGTTTTATGATTTTCATCAATATTCGTTAGATCGAAAATTGACTAGAAAATAGGTTCGAATAAAGCCTTTAATTTTACTGAAGCTTAAAGAAATTTATTTCACGTAATTTGCAAAAGCTGCAAGTGTTCGCGATGCGAAGTTTCTCAGCCAATTTTCAATAAATACTTGAAACACAAAATCCGAATGAATATTTTAGGAAATCTTTTAAAAATAATAAAAATAGTAATTAAGTTCATGCTAACAAGAATGTAACTGATTTTCATTATAACGTCATAAGTGCTGTTGCTGCACACGTGTCTCGACATTGCAGCGCAAGTATCATTAGTTCCACAACCTCGTTAATTTAGGCACCAACAATTTCAGACAGTTAAAGGATATACAACTTAACGCTTGACTTAACACACCTTAAAGCCGTTTCTTGTCTTTTCTATTACACTTTTCAAAGCAAATCAAACGTATTGCATTTTCCAGAGCCGTTTAATGAATACTTCACGTGAAAATGTAGAAATTAGGCTTTTGTGACTTGGTGACGTCAATGATTTTGCATCGCTGGAACAGTGACATGAACGCAGCTCCATCAAGTCCTCGATGTGCTTCATCAACCACATGCTGACTTTCAGAATTTGTAAGATAAGGCTTACTCAAAATTACTGCAGCGTCAGCAACTAAGTTTACTGCCAATGTCATCGGAATTCTGTCGTTAGAGAACCGTCACTGAGGAATTTTGGTGTCTAACTTCAATGCAATCATCGAAAGTGGAAAAAATAATTTTGAAATCTTTAAAATTATCTCTCCGATGCTTCTTCTTTACAATGTAATCGTATTTACCTTCTTGATGTGGGTTATATTTGAATTTTGAGTCACACAGTCTGTAATTATCGGCAATTATTGTATAGCTCATCAGGCGCCGCCCTCACCGCGCCAAGTATCGCGTGCATCATTAGCCACTGAGACAAAACCTTATGGCGAGTTGAGGACTTCCTAGTCAACAGTATTGCTCTGTAGGACCGTGCAACATTCGGTCCTATGCTTATGTGTTCCGAGACTCGCCCGATGCCCGCGCTGCCGTCGGCCCTATGCTTATGTGTTCCGAGACTCGCCCTATGCACGCGCTGCCAACGGCCCTATGCTTATGTGTTCCGAGACTCTCATAAGAAAAGGAAAAGTTGACGAGCGACTCTTCCTGCTGGTAAACTTGTGTGAAAACCGCGGCCCAGGAAGAGAAAACAGCAAAGGGCATCTGGAGAAACCAGCTCTGCGATGCTGTGGTGCAGGCATGCGTGGCTCCTCGTGAGAGTGAAGCTACCTTCTTCACTTTGAGTTGAGTATCAGTTACAGTTACTCAGTTTGACTATCATGAAGTGGTATGCATAGGAGATGAGTTACGATAATATTGTATAAATTCGTAATGTGCGTTTTTATCCCATAACCGGAGTTTCAAATAGGTAAACTTGAGTAACCTTAGAAGACATCACCATTCGGTAAAATAGTCATTCACCGTAAAAATCGCGTTCTTCAATATGTCTTTCGTTGAACTAATTTGTGTGATCGTGCTCAAAAAGGCTGTCGTATGTATAGTTGCATAGTATCGTATGTATAGTATCTCATATTATGAGAGATGAAATGAGGAATGCTACGCTGCTTGTGACAGGTGGCATAAAGAATGCCACGTTCCCACTTAGAGGTGCATTGAATGCAACGCTCCTTGCTGGCTGGAAGGGCTATAATATGTTGGTAAAGGCTGTAAAATAAGGGTTGTAAATAAGGGCTGTCAAATGTTGGGAGAGAGCAGCAGCGAAAGTAAAATGGTCTCCAAGCTTCGCTCTGCCCGCAGGCATCGCTTGAGTTTTGTTCGCTTGTCCTTGTCGTTGCGCACAGAAACGATGTAAGTCTTCGCTGTCTCGGCCGCTACGTTGCTTCCGAGAGCCCTGGGCTTTAAGAACAATTCTTCTTTACACGTAAAATGAAATTTGGAAAATAAATATAATTAATATATACACTTATAGTAGAATTTGATATATTGATTTCAAAGATTTTTCCAAGTCTCATGTCGTCTGGACTTGGAAAATGTCGAATGAAATCACGAGACATTTACAGTATCCATTAATGAAACTCATACAGTACATACACAAGTGTCACGGGTTGCACTTACAAGATGCTCGAACAACAAGAATCCCCTTCCAAATTCTTTTAATTATCGCTTGTTTTAATTGTTACGCAGTGAAATGCCACGCATCCCACCAATATATCATCAACACATTATAGGCACGAGGAAGTCACTTCAAATTTGCTGATGAGATTAACTAAGGTTAACATTTTGTCGTTTAATTTACCTTGCAGAGTTTAGTGCGGAAATTTTGTACTGCGTTCTGCTCTGATGAGCTGCAAAATCTCACAGACTTGCCCAGCATCCGCTTAAGTGACAAACTCATACTAATTATTGCTTCAAAATATTGTTAAAAATTGAGATTATTATTGGTATGGATGTTGTGGTTTAAATTTAAAACTATAGCAATGATGGAACATTATGATGTTTGTTCGGAAGTTGTGCCACGTGACGGCTGCAATATATTACAGTCATACCTGCAACCTGCGCGTGCAGCGCCTCAACAACGACCTGCCTCTCATTACCGTGGATGGCTACAAATAATTATGATTACAAATGATCTGTGTTGTGTGGTTACTTAATACGAGTTTCACTTTGAGTTGAACTCTTAGGACCTGCAAGAAACTTCTGAGTGAATCACTTTTAATTAATTATCAATGAAGAAAATATACGGTGTCCCACGTTGCATTCTTATTGATATACTCCTCGGGCAGAGCCTTTTTGAAAGTTCGAGTGACGTCTGGCTCTGAATTATGTGTTCTAGCAATACGTTGATCGCATTGTGAATGGTTCTCCCTTTTGTCCGAAAGTTCAAACAAGAGGCACAGAGCTTGCGTCAAGTTATTGCACAAGCAGCGGCCGCTGCACACGTGACTACAGTGCCAAGTGGCAGAGAACCTGTTAACCTGTTAACGGCAACCAATACGTACGCAACCGCTCAATACTGCCGAAGACTTCCATGCTCAGCCTCCAACAGATCCTCTTTGTTGCAATAGGTGTGGCGGTTGCCACCGACTTTTCTATGCTTGAACAACTTAGCAATCGAGTAAATACGAGTACAGTGTAGAAATATCACTATGCGAGAATTTTTTTTACTAAATATTAATATTGAAAGAATATTCTAATTTCCTGCAGAATCGTTATGAAAATTGTTTAAAATTGAAAAATTAAATGAGAATTTTATTTCACAAAAAGTATAGATCGCAGATTGGAAAGCTATATGCGTTTTTTTTTTGTTTTGGTGGCAAGCCTGCCATTTTGATTCGTGGGTTCTTAAAAGTGGGGCGCATTATGTCCTGTCCTGCTCTGATAAGTGGGCGGAGGGATGGTACAGGAAGCAGCACAAGAACGTGGAGATGAAACCTGGTACAAGAGAGTGGACTTAAGAGTTGTTATGCAACAGCCTGGATCTCCTAAACGTTGATCCACAAATTCTAAGAACCGTTTGCATATTTAAACAACAGAACTGAGTCATCACGGATGTTGTTCCGTGAACACATCAGCTGCTTGGAGGAACGAAGTCAACAGTTGAAAAAAAGTAAACAGGGAGTCAACAGTTGAATCGCCACCAGGCAGTCAACAGTTCACCACCAGTCAGCTGTTGACTCTGACGTCACGTGTCAGCTGTTGACTCTGACGTCACGTGTCAGTTGTTGACTCTGTCAGTTGACGTGTCAGTTGACGCGTTGATACAGTTAACAGCTGGCGCGGTAACGCCATCTGGCAGGCCCAGCACCAGCTGTCCAGGAAGCTCTGTACGCTCATTGGCTCGCAGAATATTTATTATAACTTTTGGCAGCGGCGCAAAATTTGTCGATTATTGCCGCTTCCGGTGTTGATAAGAAAGAAATTGTTGCTTTGTCGTAAAATTATGATTACTGTTCTGACCACTACCGTCAAGTTAATACAGTTAAAATATATTGATGCATATAGTAAGATATATTCATGACACTACTACGTTGATTAATTTTCCTAAATGATTAGGTTCAATATTTTATTTCAGTAATTAGGTTCAAAGTGAAAGTTGATCACAACACCTCAGGTTGCTTGGCTAAATCAAGTTTATGTTGATGCTGCAGAGAAGCGCTCTATGCATCGAGCCGCGCGTGGGCGCTCCAAGGTCCGCGGCTTACGCTGCAGCTCCAGCAGCCTAGCATGCATCGCTGTCATTGCGCCTACATCATCACTGTCTCTTGTGTTGCCTTTGGCCTTCATCATCGCTGTCGCTTGTGTTGCCTTTGGCCTTCATCATCGCTGTCTCTTGTCTTGCCTTTGGCCTTCATCATCGCTGTCTCTTGTGTTGCCTTTGGCCTTCATCATCACTGGTCTCTTATGCTGCCTTTGGCCTTCATCATCACTGTCGCTTGTGTTGCCTTTGGCCTTCATCATCACTGTCGCTTGTGTTGTCTTTGGCCTTCATCAACATTGAGCGCAGCATGCTGTCTTAGATGTTGCGGTTCATCACAGTAACGGGGTACAGGAGTTGTGTGGTGCTTGATATCGCAACGCGTTGTATTCCTGACAAAGTTCTGCTGTAGCTCTTCTCTCAATATATATATAATATGTACTGAAGAATATATGTAATATGTAGAATATGTACTGAAGAATATGTGTAATATGTACAATATGTACTGAAGAATATATGTAATACGTGCAATAAGTACTGAAGAATAACTTGTTATACTCACACAATGTACTAATGAACGACTTCTTACCTGGTACCCCAAGTTTGTTGCATGTGTTGCGTAATGTTCTACAGCCTCCGCTGTTAACAGTATCAACAGTATCAACAGTATCAACAGTA